GGCCTGCGCTCGCTCTACCAGCGCAAGGTGCTGCCGCTGGAGGAGGCGTACCGCTTCCACGAGTTCCACTCGCCTGCGCTGGAGGACGCCGACTTCGAAAACAAGCCCATGATCCTGCTGGTGGGCCAGTACAGCACGGGCAAGACCACCTTCATCAGGTAACTCGCCGCGCAGGCTCGCTGCCCCTCCGCCTGGGCACCGTCTGCCCTCAGTTACACTCAGAGCTCAGTGGCCCCGTCGCCTCTCGCGACCCCGACGGGCTCTCGTCGCGCGAGGCTCCCCTGAGCCCGGGGCTGCGAGCCCCTTGCTTGCTGTTTCCTTGATCCTGTCACCCTGGCCTGGGAACACAGGACAGGGAGGGAGGGCGAGGCTCTAGAGAGCCTCATCAGTGCAGCCTAGGGTTGGAAGTGAGAATGAAGGTGTGCGGGTCCTAGTTGGAGAGGTAAGCTTCCAGCACAGTGACAATGAATGAATAAATGCCACGGTGGAGGTATGCCATGCCTTTACCTGCCACTCTTCGCCACAGCGGCTGCTTTCATTCAGCTTTATGGTCTATAGGAAGTTAGCCTACAGTGTAGTCGCCTCTCCAGCCTGTGGAACGAAGGGGAGTGTCAGGTTACTATTTGTTAGTTTCCATTTCTTCACCCTTGACAAACTGAAATATTTGTCACGCTCGCTCTGACTCCTGAAGCAGTAACCGTGCTTGCCCTGCGGTTCCAATCACACAGCTTCCTCTGAAGTGACTCGATGAGAAATAATTTACAATGGAACAGACTGCTTTTTAAATAAGGCATCTTATTTCTAAAGCAACCAGCTTATTAAAACTCCTTTTCAATGGGCGATGGTGGTGAATGTCTTTAATCCCAGCACTCAGGAGACAGAGGCAAGAGGATTTCCGAATTCAAGGCCTGCCTGGTCTACAGAATGAGTTCCAGGACAGCCAGGGCTACACAGGGATTCTCAACAGAGCAAAACAAAACAACTTCCTTTCTTTGGGAAGATTTGGTTTTTTAATTTGTTTTGTTTGTGTTTTTGGTTTTGGTTGTTGTTGTTGTTTGGTTTGGGGGGGGTGGTTTTTTGTTTTTTTGTTAAAGCCCCTGTCAGTCAAAGCAAACTGACTAAACATTTAGATTTGGATCTGGAGTTTTGAGAATTGGAACATTCTTTTCATCATTTGATGTTCAACAGGTGTTCAGAAAACTACATCTGTCTTTGGGGTAATGCCATTTCTGTTAAGTATGACCTCTTTTTCTTCAGTTCCAATAAATAGAGTAGTTGTTGCTATAAGAATATGTTAAACCTGGGCCTATAGATACACCGTGAATGACTTCAGCAAATGAAATACACTGTATTTTGAAATATGAAAGAAGAGTGGGGAAAATAATGTTGAAATTGTTTCATTTGATGCTTTTTAATAAGCTGAAAATAGTGTTGAATATGTTACCTCAGATAATATATATATATATATATATATATATATATATATATATATCAGTAGCTGGATGGTTGAAAGATGGCAAATATCAGTCTGTGATAGTGCTTGCCTGTAATCCCAGCATTTGGGAAGCTGAGTCTTCATGTGCCTTCCAGGCCAGCCTGGGCTACATAAAACATTCTAGGATAACACAACAAAAGATCCTGTCTCCAAAACAAAACAGCAATAAGAACAACAGCAAAACTTAAGAAACAAAAACAAAACAGATGGCAAACAGATGGTACATTTAAGATCTTAGAAGCAGTAGTTGTGAATTATTGGGATAGTAAAGTATTACAAGAGTGGGGAGAGAACTTTTTAAGCTTAAAGCAAATAAGAGTATAACATCGTTAAAATGTTCTGGTGGCAGTTTCATAGCAGCCCCACATCTCCTCCCATGTATCTTTGCCATGGCTTCACTGTATCTGTGCATAATTAGGGAGCCTTTCCTAGATGCTATACCAACCTAGGCTAAAGACAGTGTGCTCCTCTGTTCATATTCTGGCTAATAAGCAGGCCTGAGGTAGGAGAGTACAACTCAGTTCAAAGGGATGTGTGTCAATCCTCTTTCCCCGCCTCAAATTATTTTCTTATTCTTCTCTGCTTCATTGATTAGGAGAAGCTTTGTGGAATAGTGTTAAGACCAGTTCTGAGATTTGGCTCATGGCTATACCTCCCAATTAAGTATTTTTTAGTAGCTGGACTCAGTAGGAGCTATACAGCCCAAAGGTAAGGGAGGAATAACCTTAACTGGAAGCTTGAGCCATTAGACCAAGGGCCCAAAGTGCCCAGGGGGTTAGAAGATCACTGTGGACAGGAAGCTGGATGAAGCTACACTTGTGGCATCTGAAATGGATTTTAGAGTAGAGTAGGAGGAAGTGATTGGTCTCTGGGAGGAAAGCCCCAAACAGAGGGCAGCTATCCTGGAGACCTGGGCACTTGGGGTAGTAAACAGGAGAGGGCCGTGAGATCTGGCTTTCCTGGCCTCTCCTTTAGGTAGGTCCTGGCTAGGGACCTGGGTGTTTTGCTTCTGGCAGTGAGCATGCTCACTTATACTTGGAGAAGGGGCCAGTCTATAAAGTCACAGGTTCTTTTCCTTCTCACTAACACAGGACCTGCAATATCACAGAGGGAAACGTTCCTCTTCAGTGTAAGTCACTTAACATAGACTTTACTATGCATCTCACACCTTTAGTTAAACTCTGTTTTTCTCTCTTGTTTTGGAGAAACTAGGAGTCCTGTTGTATGTGATGGACCAGGACATTCATCAGAACTGAGGCAACTGAGTGTGTCCTTTGTTTTGATGGAAAGTTCTCCTAGGTGGGATGCCTGAAGAGCCTGGGGTGTCAAGAAAATATGCTCACTCTTTTTGGGTGATCACCAGAAGAGGCCAAGTGCCAGAAAGAGGGAAAATTGAAAGAGTGAGGTTAAATGAAAAGAACAGATTGGTAGAATCTCCTGTAGATCATAGCATTGAAAGCCTAGAAGAGGCTTCAGATGTGGGTGAGATAATTGTCAAAGTCTCTTTGGGGGAAAGGCAGAGCATCCAACAGCTCTATTGTCTGGTTATTTTATTTCTCAAAAGACAGGACCTATAGTAAGAACTGTTAAATAGTCTGCTTCAGATAGGCAAGGAAAAATTGTCTAGAGAAGAAGAGATTGGCACTGGTGAAAGTGATCATATCACCTTTGATTTTAATGGCTGAGGAAGGGCAGGTGTTAGGTTTATCCAGGATTATGTTCAAAGCTTGAAAGGAAAGGACAAGTTTCATAGGTTGGTTCAGCAGTTAAAAGCTCTTATTGCTCTTCCAGAGAACCCAAGTTTGGTTCCCAGTACACACATTAGGTGGCACACAACACCTTTAACACCAACCTCAGGGAATCCAGTGCCCTCTCCCGGACGTCATAGGCACCTGCATTCACCCGTGCGCACACACCCCCACCCACAATTAAAAATAAATCTATTAAAATTCAACTTCAGATTTTTTTTTCAATTTCAGAATTTTTATGCAGAAAAGAAAATCACTGGGCCCAGCTCCTTTAAAGCAAAATCATTCCACTGTGAAACATGGGTGGTTCCCCGGAAATCAATTAAAACTACAAATTGCAACTTCTGCTCTTAAGGGTTCTACTTCCTCTCTTCCTCCTGTACCGTGGCACCATCCCCCAAGAAAGTTTATTCTAATGAGGAGAAAAGAAGAAGTGATTCTATGTAGGCTGGATGGACAGTGCTTACCTAGCATGTGTGAGGTCCTAGGTTCAATCCCCAGAACTGAAAAAAGGAAACTAGGTAGGCTTTAAAGGGGCAGAGAGCAGGGCAATAGGCAGGAAAAGACACAAACTGCATCCATATTGGAAAAGAGTGAAACTGTTTGCAGACCACATGGTCTTTTTTATATTAAAATATCTTGATTAGAAACAGAAATCTATTGTTTTTCTAAGTTTGAAATGAATAGTCTCAGAGTGACATTAAGCAAACAAAACTGTTTGTGATAGCATCTAAAGGGGATAAAGTATTGACGACAATACTTTAGGAATAATAAGCCCAACAAAAAGAAATGCAAGACTTCTACATTGACAGAGTCATTACTAAAAGAAATTAAGGAAGACCTAAATGGAAAACTACCCCGTATCGGAGGATTTGAGGCCATGTTAACATGGCAATGCTCCTGAACTGCTGTTTGTTTTCTGAGACAGAGTCTCAGTGTATATTACTTGGTGGCCTGAACCCACTGTATAGCCCAGGATGGCCTCAAACTTGTGGTAGTTCTCCTACCTCTGCCTCTGGAGTTCTAGGATTATAAGGGTGTGCCACCATACCTAACCAGTGTATCTGAGTTGGTTGTCAGATTCAAAATAACTTCTATTACTTTGTTTCTTTATTGTTTGTTTGGGGCAGCAATTGACAGGCTGACTCTATAATTATTGGGAACTCAGGGTTTGCAAAAAAGCAGCCCTGAAAAAGAACAAGATTTGGAGGACTCACATTTCCTGATTTAGAATTTATCATGTAACTACTGAAACAGTGCAATGTGGCACTGGCGGCAGGATAGACAGATTAGTGGTACAGATCTGAGAGCCCCAAAGTAAACCTTCATATTTATGATCAACTGGTTTTTGACAAGATATCATGACAGTTCAATGGGAAAAGAATAGCTTTTTGGACAGATAATGCTGGGACAACTGGACACTCATGTGCAAAAGCAATGAAGAGAGATTGTTCATGGGTATGTGATACTTTTTAGAGTGATGAAAGTGTTCTGAAATTGGGTAGTGGTACTGATCATACAACTCTCAGTGAATCAAACACGGAGCTGCTCTTTAGAAGGCTAAATTCTCTGATAGATGAATTGTATTTCAGTTGGGGTTGGAATGTAGCTCAGCAGTGAAGTGCTTGCCTAGCATGTACAGGGTCCTGGGTTCAATCACTAGAAATGAAAAATACAAACAAACAAATAAAAACATTCTTCCAGTGTGAAGCAGCCTGTAATTCTGATTTCCATAATTCTGTAATTAGTGCCACTCAAGTAATTTGTGCATTTGTGTGTGCTAATTTAAACTGAAAACATATATTCCAGAAAGAAAACAAAGTGGAAATGAGCTAAGGGAACAAAAGAACAAAGAGAACTAGAGAGTAATTGTGAGGCTAAGAGAATACCAGTAGCTACCAAGGAATCCCTGTGG